CTTCAGACCTCTGAGCTCTGACCCTCTGACCTTCATACCTCTGACCTTCAGACCTCTGACCCTCTGACCTTCAGACCTCTGACCCTCTGACCTTCAGACCTCTGACCCTCTGACCTTCATACCTCTGACCTTCTGACTTTCATACCTCTGACCTCTGACCTTCTGACTTTCATACTTCTGACCTTTGACCCTCTGACTTTCATACCTCTGACCTTCAGACCTCTGACCATTTGACTTGTAGACTTTTGACCTCCGACCTCTGTGTTTGCTCAGGATGGGAGACTGCAACGAAGCCAAGATTCATCTTGTCTGCTGGATTCCTCAGATAGAGAACTTTACTGATTGGCTTTTATGTGAATGTTCCTGTAAAGTCCCTGAGAAAACTTTGTTGTGATTTGGTGCTTTATGAATAAACTGAATTGAAATGACCCTCTGACCTTCATTCATCTGACCCTCTGACCTTCAGACCTATGAGCTCTACCTTTCAGACCTCTGACCTTCAGACCATCTGACCTTCATAACTTTGATGCTCTGAACTTCAGCCCTCTGATCTCTGTCTCTCTGACCATCAGACCTTCAGACCTCTGACTCTCTGACACACAAACACAGTGAAAAGAGACATCAGGGAAAACAGATTGTTTCCTGGTGCTTCCTATTGCATCATGTAGTCTTCATCAGCCTCTTCATCATACTGTTGATATCAAACACATCAGTGTTTCTGCTGTTGACCTCTACCTGTGCAACACCCTGTGCTCTGCAGGCATCCAACCCTTACCTGTCCACAAGAAGCAGCTCCACGGTGACCTCTGGTGGACGTTTTCGCTGTCCCTCCTGCCGACATGAGGTGGTTCTAGACCGACATGGAGTTTATGGGCTGCAGAGGAACCTGCTAGTGGAGAACATCATTGACATGTACAAACAGGGGAGCACCAGGTACAACACACACCTGTGTACACACAAATAGAACACACATACAAGAAACACTCACCTGTACACTCATACTGAGATGTCATCTCCACTGTTTTCCATCTCACTCTGTTACATCTGGAAGTGACACATGACACAGGTCTACAGATGATGCTATTGCTTTAGTAGTTCACACCTCTCTCAACCATCTGGAGAAGGTAAACACTCATGTGAGAATATCCTGATGCATGCTCAATAATCCAGGTAGAAAAATCCAAAAAAGTTCAATCTGGTCCTCTGGACATTCAAAAAAGAAAAAAAAAAAAAAAAAACAAAGCAAAAAAAAAAATGTAGAAACGTTTTGTCTCTCATCCTGAGGACTTCCTCAGTCTGAGGTGCTGTATTCAGCTCAGTCTCTTAAATAGCACCTTCTCAGAGTGGATCAACCAGTTTGCTGCTGACAACCAAAACCAGCTGCTCACATGATCAAGAAGGACCATCAGCCTAACAATGGATCATTAGCACCTGATGGCTGTTTACTGTTCACAGAGGGCTGAGTGATACTATCAATCACAGCATTGTAAGAGGGGGACAGTTGAACCTGGAGGCTCCGCCCCTGTTTAATGATGGACGGTTTCTTTTCACAAAGATGGCCTCCTTTACTCCTCTCTCAAACCATCGTTCCTCTCTGTCCAGGATGTGAACATCTTCATCCCTGAAAGAGTGACCTCTGGCCTGGAGATGAGTGTAGACCTCAGAGTCCTGGCCTGATGATGTTGATCTTCTGTGCTGGGCCATCCTTTTGGCCAGTGGCTGTTTTGTTTCCCCGATGTAAGACTGATCACCCTCCTGACACTGAACAGCATACACAACATTACTCTGTTTGTGCTGGGGGACTGGATCTTTGGGATGAACCAGTCTTTAATGTATTTTGGGGTTTAAAAGCCACTGGGACGTTATGTTTAGAAAATAAACGTCTCAGTTTCTCTGATACTCCCTCAACATATGGAATGACCACTGGTCTGGGTCTGGGTTCCTCCTTTTCACCTGATGGCTGACTGGAGTCCTGTTTGGGTTTCTTCTTTCAGGAAGGCCCAGTTAGGATATCCACATTGCTCTAGAGCCTGTCTTGTGTGGGATTTCTCCTTCTGCCTGGCTCCTGAGCTAGTGGGGACGCTGTCTGCTCCGTGTATCGCAAACCCACCCACACAGACCAGTATTTGCAGTTTGACTCCCATCACCCTTTAGAGCACAAGTTAGGAGTCATCAGGACTCTGTACCACAGAGCAGAGAACTCTGTCTCTCTGTACCACAGAGAACGTTTCTACATTTTTTTGTTGATTTGCTTTGTTTTGTTTTTTTGAATGTCCAGAGGACCAGATTTAACTTTTTTAGATTTTTCTACCTGGATTATTGAGCATGCATCAAGATATTATGGAAATAGTTCCAAGCAGAGTTCACGTCATCAGTTAATTAAATCAGAGTCAGAGCTTATTAATTGTAATTTACACCACATGTGGTGCGAATGAGATTGTGCACTCAGGGTCCCGTTACATCCAACAATAAATGTAAAAAAAAACCAGTAATAAGATCTAAGATAAGAACTAAAAAAAAAACAACTAAAATATGCTAAGCACTAATAGCATAAAAACATTACGTCAAACAGCAGCACGAGCATGAGTCTGTGTGAGCAGATGGGGACAAATGAACACATTAACATGAAACACATCAGCAGCAACATGAAACAGATCAGCAGCAACATGAAACAGATCAGCAGCAACATGAAACAGATCAGCAGCAACATGAAACAGATCAGCAGCAACATGATATGGTTTTTCACAGTGATTATTCTGGATAGAGATTCATGAGTCTAACAGCCTCAGGGTAGAAGCTGTTCCTCAGTCTAGTGGTTCTACACTTAATGCTCCTTAACCTCCTTCCTGAGGGGAGTGGGGCAAAAAGTGTGTGTGCTGGGTGGGTGGGGTCCTTCATGATGCAGGTGGTCCTCTTCCTGCATCTAGAGGTGTAGATGTCTGTGATGGTGGGGAGGCTGACTCCAACATCTTCTGTGCAGCCTTCACCACTCTCTGCAAAGCTTTTCTTTCTGCAGCTGTGCAGCCTCCATGCCACACGTTGATGCTGGAGCACAGGATGCTCTCCACTGCACACCTGTAGAAGGAGGTGAGGACTGAGCTTCCAGACCAGCTCGTCTCAGCCGTCTGAGGAAGTAGAGTCTCTGATGAGCTTTCTTCATCAGGCTGGTGGTGTTGTTGCTCCAGCTGAGGTTGTTGTTCAGGTGCACACCCAAGTACTTGTAGCTGGAGACCACTTCCACCGCAGATCCTCTTATGTTCGGGGGGGTGTAGGTGTGTTTGTTCCTTCTGAAGTCCACAACCATCTCCTTTGTCTTCTTCACATTGATGTGAAGGTTATTCTCTCTGCACCAGCTCTCCAGGTGTTCCACCTCTTGCCTGTAGCTGGACTCATCATTGTTTGTGATGCATCCCACCACCGCTGTATCATCTGCAAACTTTACAATGTGACAGCCTGGATGGGTAGCTGCACAATCATACGTGAGCAGAGTAAACAGAAGGGGGCTCAACACACATCCCTGAGGAGAGCCAGTGCTGAGGGTTATGGTGGAACAGGAGAAGTTGTGGATCCTCACTAACTGTGGTCTGTTTGTTAAAAAGTCTAGTACCCAGTTACAAATGGAGGAACTTAGTCCTAGTGTGGATAGTTTGTCCATCAGGGTTTGGGGGATCATGGTGTTGAAGGCAGATGTGAAGTCCACAAAGAGCATACGGATGTAGGAGTCCTTCTGCTCCAGGTGGTTGAGCGCAGTGTGGACCACAGAGGGGATGGCATCCTCTGTTGATAGATTCTTGTGGTATGCATACTGATGAGGGTCCTCGTTGATGTTGATGGTAGTTTTGATGCGAGTCATGACCAGTTTTTTTGAAGCATTTTGCAACTATCTGGGTGAGGGCTACTGGCCAGTAGTCATTCAGACCAGTCACTATAGAGTTCTTTGGGACTGGGATGATGTAGTGGTCTTCAGGCAGTTGGAAACTGTGGCCAGGGTAAGTAAAGAGTTAAAGATGTCGGCCAGCACCTCACAGAGCTGATCGGCACAGTCTTTCAGGACCTTCCCGGGGATGTTGTCTGGGCCGGTTATTTTGTGAGGGTTATATATACACATATATATATATATGTCTGTGTGTGTGTGTGTGTGTGTGTGTGTGTGTGTATGTATGTAGTGATATAGTGATATAGTTATATAGTTTAATGTCTCTGATAACTCCAATAATGCAATGATTGCTCATATCATCAGCAAAAACACACAAACCAGGACATTTATGAGGCATATTTGTTAAAAAATGAGGTCAATATGGAAGATTTTTCAGGGCAAGGCTTGTTAGGTCTGGTGGGAGTATCACTGGTGAGATTAAGTGACAAATAACATTCCTTGAATTTATCATAGAGTGGACTCTATGTTCTCCAAACAACATTGAAGTCTCTGACGAGGAGGACTTCGTTGAATTGTAAATTGGCTAGGAAGCCTGACAGAGTGATGGCAGATGACAGAGAGAACAGAGCCTCAGGGGAGGGGGGAGATGAAAGTCCACGACAGATAAAATCTGGTCTCCATGCAAAGTAATGTTTACCGCTAGAGATTCAAACTGGTTTGGGATTGAGTTGCCAAGTGTCGTTTTCTCAGACGTGAATAATGAGTTTATTGTATTTCGCCTTGGCTTTAGCCACTAGTTTCAGGTGGGATTCAATGCCACCTGCTTTGACCCCTGGAATGCATTTGACTGTGATTTGAGTTGCAGGTGCCATGTTTCGGACTATGGAGCTGCCAACAACGAGTCTTCTCCTCAGTGGGCATCTCACTAAGCTCAGAAAACTGATTTGAGTTTTATTTATTTTTATTTATTTATTTCTATAGCGCCAAATCACAACAAGTTGTCTCAGGGACTTTACAGGAACATTCACATAAAAGCCAGTTAGTAAAGTTCTCTATCTAAGGAATCCAGCAGACAAGTTGAATCTTGGCTTCATTGCAGTCTCCCATCCTGAGCAAGCACAGTGGAGACAGTGGAAAGAAAAACTCCCTTTAACAGGAAGAAACCTCCAGCAGAACCAGCTCAGGACAAGAGACCATCTGCTTTGACCGGCTGGTTGAGAGGACAGGAAGGAGAGACAGACCAACACAGAATGGTAGGTCCAGGTATAAGTTTGAAATTTGAAAGTTGAATGGGTCGGTGGTTGACCGAGGGCTTAGTTTTAGTATTTTTCTTTGGACCGTCACCCAGCAGGCCTGAGGTTCAGGACAGCTAAGGGGAGGAAACAGATTTGAAACATGTTTTTGAATGGGAGAAGAATCATTTGAAACTTTCAAAACGTGAGCGGGTTGTTGGTGAACCGGGGGTTTAGTTTTAGCTTTAGGCTTACTTTGGGATGATAACCTGCAGACCTGTTTATCGAGCGCAGATTGCATTGAAGTTGTAAATTTATCAGAATCAGAATCAGAATGCCTTTATTGTCATTATACACAGTACAATGAAATTAAGAGCCACTCCTTTTTCCAGTGCAAAAACACGCCTTAAGAAAACACACATTTAACACACTAAAAATATAAAAAATGTAACGCAATATAGATATAATAATGAAAGTAAAAAATACAAGTATTACACAATTGTATTGCACATCATGGATATTAGTGAGGTAGTTAAGGTGACTGAGAGTATGACATGTCAGTAGTATTGCACAGTAGAAGTCCAGGGGTTTGGGAGGTTAGATGATTAAATCAGTGCATGTGTGAGTTCAGGGTGGTGATGGCTTTCAGGAAAAACTGTTCTTGAATCTGTTTGTTCTTGTTCTGATGCACCTGTAGCGCTTCCCTGAAGGTAACAAGTCAAACAGTTCAACACCCGGGTGAGAACAGTCCTTGATTATGTTTTCTGCTCTGTTGAGGCAGCGTGATGTGTAAATGTCCATCAGGGAGGGGAGAGGGCAGACAGTTATCTTTTGTGCTGTCTTGACTACTCTCTGAAGCCTCTCCCTGTCAGCCAGGGTGCAGCTGCCGGACCATACTGAGATGCAGTATGTCAGCAGGCTCTCCATGGACGAGCGGTAGAAGGTCAGCAGCAGTTTTGTGTTCAGGTTGTACTTCTTAAGGACTCTTAAGAAGTGTAGTCTCTGCTGAGCCTTCTTGATGACCGCTGTGGTGTTCTCTTTCCAGTTTAGGTCAGCAGAGATATGGACACCAAGAAATCTGAAAATGTGAACCCTCTCCACGCACTCGCCGTTGATGTAAAGGGGGCTAGGTTGGTGCTGCGCTTCCTGAAATCAATAATCACCTCCTTGGTTTTTTTGATATTCAGAGCCAGATTTTTCTCTGAGCACCAGGTTGCTAGCTCCAGGATGATCAACCAGATGATCTAAGTCACTGCTCTCTCATGTATTACTCTGCAAGACAGAGGAAAACAATGGAAGAGAATCTTTAAATTTGGTTACAGCGTTTTCTGATAAGCACCTGCTAAGGTGAAATTCACTCTCAGTGACTGTGTAGTCATTTAATGTAAACTCAAAGTTATTAAAAATGGTCAGATAAAACAGGACTTTGAGGAACCATCATTAAGTTATTAATCTCGATGCCACAAGTCAGAACCAGATCAAGGGTGGGTTACATTGGTGTTGCTGTATTTGCTGATTTTGTTCAAAGTGGATTTTACTTCTTACAAAGGCTCTGAATTTAAGCAGAACTCACCCATATCACTGGTTCTGACTTGTTTGTTGAGGTTGCCTGTGTGGAAATCTGTCCCTGTGTCTGATTGTCAGCAAGCCGATTCCAGAGGTGAAGACAGAGCAGCCAATGTGCGAGGAGCACGAGGATGAGAAAATCAACATCTACTGCATCTCCTGCTGCGTCCCCACCTGTTCTCTCTGCAAAGTGTTTGGAGCTCACAAGGACTGCCAGGTGGCACCGCTCAGCGATGTCTTCAGCCAACAGAAGGTGCACACACACACACACACATGCACAATACAACAAAACACGCCAAACACAATTTACACACAATAAACCAACAATTTACAAACAAACACAAAACACACACAGCAAACGCAGAACACAGGATGGTGTAACTTTTAGTAATGTTGTGTGTCACTGTGCGCAGAAACAGCTGATTGTGTGTTATTGTGCAATGCGTGCAGGCGGAGCTCACTGATTGTATCTCCATACTTGTTGGGAACAATGAGAGGATCCAGGCCATCATCAATCAGCTTGAGGAAACCTGCAGAGCTGTTGATGTGAGTTCATCTAAGACCTCTGAGACCTGGGCCAGCTGTGGCTGAGTGGTTAGAGCAGTCGTTCTCCAATTCAAGATTTGGAGGTTTGACTCCACCACCTGGCACATGCCAAAGTGTCCCTGGGCAAGACACTGAACCCCTCATTGCCTCCGATGTGTCCCATCAGTGTCTGAATGTAATAAAGCTCTGATTATTCTTTGTATACATCTAGTAGAGTGCTGTATGAATGAGTAAATGAGGCACAGATTGTTCTAAAGAGCTTTGAGTTGGACTGTGAGGTCTCAGTCTCTGATAGAGGACATTTGCAAACTGAGGTGTACCACAAACCCACACACACAGACCAGTATTTGCAGTTTGACTCCCATCACCCTTTGGAGCACAAGTTAGGAGTCATCAGGACTCTGTACCACAGAGCAGACAGCGTCCCCACTAGCTCAGGAGCCAGGCAGAAGGAGAAATCCCACACAAGACAGGCTCTAGAGCAATGTGGATATCCTAACTGGGCCTTCCTGAAAGAAGAAACCCAAACAGGACTCCAGTCAGCCATCAGGTGAAAAGGAGGAACCCAGACCCAGACCAGTGGTCATTCCAGATGTTGAGGGAGTATCAGAGAAACTGAGACGTTTATTTTCTAAACATAACGTCCCAGTGGCTTTTAAACCCCAAAATACATTAAAGACTGGTTCATCCCAAAGATCCAGTCCCCCGGCACAAACAGAGTAATGTTGTGTATGCTGTTCAGTGTCAGGAGGGTGATCAGTCTTACATCGGGGAAACTAAACAGCCACTGGCCAAAAGGATGGCCCAGCACAGAAGATCAACATCATCAGGCCAGGACTCTGAGGTCTACACTCATCTCCAGGCCAGAGGTCACTCTTTCAGGGATGAAGATGTTCACATCCTGGACAGAGAGGAACGATGGTTTGAGAGAGGAGTAAAGGAGGCCATCTTTGTGAAAAGAAACCGTCCATCATTAAACAGGGGCGGAGCCTCCAGGTTCAACTGTCCCCCTCTTACAATGCTGTGATTGCTAGTATCACTCAGCCCTCTGTGAATAGTAAACAGCCATCAGGTGCTAATGATCCATTGTTAGGCTGATGGTCCTTCTTGAGCATGTGATCAGCTGGTTCTGGTTGTCAGCAGCAAAACTGGTTGATCCACTCTGAGAAGGTGCTATTTAAGAGACTGAGCTGAATACAGCACCTCAGACTGAGGAAGTCTCTCGGATGAGAGACGAAACGTTTCTAGATTTTTTTGCTTTGTTTTGTTTTTTGTTTTTTTGAATGTCCAGAGGACCAGATTGAACTTTTTTGGATTTTTCTACCTGGATTATTGAGCATGCATCAGGAGCTTTGAGTATCTTAACAAGATAGAAAGGTGCTATATACAGGTAAGTACAGTCAATTTATAAGTAATGTATGTCAGATCATTCCTGATGCATCCTTCCATTTCTATGCTGATGACACAGTTGTTTATGTCGTATTGAGTGGACACTGGTGCAGGTAAACCCAATGGTGCAGGCAGTCATTTATTTACAAAAAGCAAAAGGCTGTTGGTGCAACAAAACTTACATGAATATAAGGAGCAGACTTGACATCACCAGTGGACAGCTTACAATGCCAGGACAAGGAACTAACACAGAAACCGACTATATACAGTGGTTAACGAGACAAAATACCTGTGAGGACACGCAGCTGAAACACATCAGGGGAAAAGATAAACTAGGAAACCAGGGAGTGCAGGAACAGAGACACAACACCAGATGGAGCCATAAACTAGGAAAACACAAACCCTATAGAAAACAGAAACTAAGGATCAGAAGAACACAGGACATAAACACAACACAAGATGGGGCCAGAACCAAGAAACAAACCACAATCCCTACAGTTTATTGTCGAGCTAAAACAGTTGCTAAAGTTTTCCAGCTTTTATAGTCTGCATTCGACATCATCCAGTCTGATTTGTTTAATCTCAAACTTGTCCTAAATGCCAACAAAACCAAAGGGATGTTGTTTTCAAACAGGTAGTCGGTCCCAGAAGTTCTTCTTTTCATTTTATCTTTGAATGGTGTCCCTATTGAGTTTGTTGATTCCTACAAATATTTGGGTATCTTGGTCGACTCACATCTCTCTTTTAAGCTCCACATGGAAAACTTGGTAAAGAAACTGAAAGTTAAACTGGGTTTCTTTTTCAGAAACAGATCCTGTCTAACCCTGAATGTTAGGAAACACCTTGTATCTGTGACTTTCCTTCCCTCCATTGATTACGGTGACATTATTTACATGAACGCTCCTACAAGAACCCTGCAGATGTTGGATGCTGCAGATGTTGGATGCTGCAGATGTTGGATGCTGCAGATGTTGGATGCTGCAGATGTTGGATGCTGTCTATCATGGTGCACTAAGATTCATAACTGGCTGTAACTACTGTACCCACCACTGCACCCAGTATTCACTGGTTAACTGGTCTCCAGTAACATCCTGATGCATGCTCAATAATCCAGGTAGAAAAATCCAAAAAAGTTCAATCTGGTCCTCTGGACATTCAAAAAAAAAAACAACCAAAAAACAAAACAAAGCAAAAAATATAGAAACGTTTCGTCTCTCATCCGAGAGACTTCCTCAGTCTGAGGTGCTGTATTCAGCTCAGTCTCTTAAATAGCACCTTCTCAGGGTGGATCAACCAGTTTGCTGCTGACAACCAGAACCAGCTGCTCACATGCTCAAGAAGGACCATCAGCCTAACAATGGATCATTAGCACACTGATGGCTGGTCACCATTAACTTCACACAGACTCTCCCACTGGTACATCTTCATCTTTAAATCACTTCCTGGTCTGCTGCCTTCATACATCTCCTCCTACATGTTTCTGTGTGAGTGCAGCTACAGAGTGCACTCTCAGGACATCATTACCTGCAGTGTTCCCTCAGTGAGGACTGAACTAGGCAAAAGGACCTTCTCCTACTCCGCTCCTGTTTCCTGGAATATCTTGTAAAAAGATCTGAAGCTCTCGACCTTTGACCTCTGGCTTCAAACATCTGATAAGTTCCTGCAAAAACCAACGCAGACATGTTCCTGTTTTTAGTTTTCTACATCGCTTTATAATGAAGCTGTTTATGTTTTGTTTTGTTTATATTATTTTGTTCCGTTTATTTTTCGATTTGTTTTTTTATGATTGTCCGCTGTTGTCATCATTCTTTGTTTGAATCAGGTCTCTCTTATGAATGAGTCCTCGAGGCTCAATGAGACTAACCTGGATAAATAAATGTTGAATAAAAAATGTATTCTCAGCTGAACAAAGAATCAGACTGAATCCTAACAAACCATAGAAGAAGAGATACAGACTGAGTCCCTCAGTGGATGTTGTGGAGGATTGTGTTGTCTTTGCTCTGCAGGTTTTGGACAGAGTTTAAAGAGCTGTAAGTATCTTGATAAAATAGAAAGGAGCTATATAAGTACACAGTACAGTATTTTACCATTTACCTCCTGACTTCACGTATCAGACACCAGCCAGGAGTCTTGGTCCAGAGGCCCTGGAGTCCCCAGAGAAACGTTCATTCAACCTTTATTTCTACAGGTTAATCCCACTGAGCCTCAGGGACTCATTTACAAGAGAGACCTGAATTTAACAAAGAGTGATGACAACAGTGGACAACGACGACAACAATAGACGGTTATAAAAGATGTGTACAAATTGATAAGAGCAAATCAAGGAAAATGATATGAAAAATGAAACACAGCTATATTATAAAGCGATGTAGAAAACTAAAAACAGGAACATGTCTGCGTTGGTTTTTGCCATGAACTTAGTAGATGTCTGAAGCACTTCAGCCGCAAACAGCTCTTTCATGGGCTGCAGGTTTTAACTGGTGGATCTACAGAATGGAAACACAACATTTTCAGAACGTAGAGTTCATCTTTTATACGTATGTATAGAAAGAAGGACCCATATTTCAGTCTAGAGACTCAGCTCAGACTGTCAGTTGTCTCTAATCTTTGTTACTGTTCTCGTTTCTGCCCAAAGAGAGGAGAACATCCCTCTGAGAGGAGAACGTCCCTCAGAGAGGAGAACGTCCCTCAGAGAGGAGAACGTCTCTCTGAGAGGAGAACGTCCCTCTGAGAGGAGAACGTCCCTCAGAGAGGAGA